TCTGAAATTCAAAATCGCATAGATAACACGGGATTCGTTTGTTCGATGTTGCACGGCGATTATGCTTCACTGTAAGATGATAAGCAAACGTGAAGAGTGATGAGAACGGTTGCTTTTCCTTGCAGTCGCTATGTGAGCAACTAAGCAAGCTCAGATCGACCATCATTGTTTGATATTTGCCCATGCGCTCCAAAATTTTAAGCTGCAATTGCAGGTAATTTAATTTAACTTTCTTTTCTCTCAATTTCTACTTCTCAAAAATACGAAGAATAAAACAAAACAAAATACTTCTTCCGATCCAACTTTTCGAGCGACACCATTTTTTGAGCTATCACCTTTACGATTACGTAGATTCATTTCTCTATAACGACTTGAATTATCCTGTGGAATAAGAACTGGAACGCGATCCGGCGGTATTGTATCTACGGTTACCAGCGCATGTGGAATTGATTCCATAATCTGGAAAGCGCTTAGTGCATTCGAATTTTATTCCATTACTTCTCTTAAAGATCTTAAACTTATAAAAATAACAAAAGAAACTGCAAAGATTTACTTGTTGCCCTTCCACGAATGTTGTTGTTGCCACATCACGTGAAATACGAGGCAATGTATGTAATTCCAATTTGTGCTGTAAAGAAATTCGTAATAGAATCAGATTCATCTAAAGACTGTAAGCATTTCTCTATCTTATCCGCTTTTTTTCATATATATGTATCATACTACAACATGAATAAACGGTTTAACTAACTTCCGAGTTCGGTAATGACAATGCATAATGTTTTGTGCGCTTGTTGATAACGTTGATAAGATTTGTTCGCTTAAGAATGCCTTTGGCGCGTTTCGGCGGCTGTGGGTCGGTTTTTGTGCAGGACGATGTCCCTGCCTCTCCTTTGTTTTGTTGCTGTGGTGATATCCCCTCCTTTTTACCGTTATCGCCATTTCGAAGTTCTAGAATATATCATTTCTGTATATTTGTAGCCATATATCTTTCAAACTACACGAAAGTTCCATTATCCGACAACAAATATGACTGCAGAGAGATAGCATGGCTAAAAGATCACGCTCGCAGTAAGAATAATCTACTTGTTCGAGCTGAAATAACTCATATGATTTTCGAACTGAATGATACTCAGAACTTTTTGAGTAATTGTTTACCTGCAAGTGCTTTTTCAGCAAAATCCAGAGCCACAGCACTGAATGCTGAGGCAATAGTCGAATGCAATGTACGGCAATAGACGCGTTTGTGCGTTAAATAGTTCAAACTACTCCGAAAGATATTACCGCAGGAACTGCAATGTCACCAACAAGAATAAACACTTTATTTCGATTTAAAAAAAAAAATTTCAAAAGGTTTATACAACAGAACTTGCAAACGATATTAGATTAGTTGGAAACTTTTTAAAACAATGGCAAAATAAACTCACCGACATTCGAAAAGGATGTTACATTCGTTTGCCAATAAATTCTTCACTTCAACGGTAGAACTATTGTATATATCTATTAAACCATCAACACCATCCGATCCCCCTGTTGGTATAGAAGGCTGTTGAAGGCCCAAATCGTCAACACTCCGAGACATTTCTCTTTGTATTCCCTGATATTGCTGATACTATGAAAGAATACAAAAATAAAAAAAAGTTTTAATTTTAACTTGATTTTTAATATTTCATTCATCGAAAAAAGAACCCAGGACCTCTTATAAATTTTATTGCTAAAGAATGCCTATTTGCTTTGGAATTTTTCGTCAAAATTTTATTACTTTTATTTGAATTGATTAATTTCCTTTCTTCCCTATAATTTTGTAATCATTCCATTCCTCTCTGCAAAGTTTGTTGTGAAAATTATCCAAAAAACTGAAGTCATGAGGATTTATTGAAGATGTACATCTCGGGATAACGTAATTTCACACTGAGACATGAGATCAACTTACCGTATACCGGTCCCTGTAATGGCTTTGTACTGTGCAAGTGACAATTTCAGGAAAGGACCAGTACCGTCACGGGAGTGAGGATGAATTTCAGGAAATCGTACTATATTGTTCGCTAACGAGAGCACTGTAAAAATGGAAGCGTTGCATAATTTAATAGGCGAAACGGGAAGAGAACGTACAATAACGATCGAAATAAATTTTGTCAGTAGGAGTAAAGCATCGCAGTGTCGGAAAAAATGAACCGGTGAAGGACTGAAACAGTAGTGGCTATCTGTATGACTGTATAAAATTAGAATAGGCCAAACTGACCTCCTTCCTTTTCCTCCCATCCCTATGTGAGCAATATAAGTTAGAGCAATATTATTCATTTGACAGGTGGTGCGAGTCAGTTACTTATTAAACCGAAAAAATGGGTCATTCGACCAAGTATGTGATATAAAAAGACAGAAATAAGTATTTGATGAGTTTAAAAATGGCTCAGACTGTTTGGATTAATTAGACTGAAGTTATTAAACTGAAGAAAAGTAATACTCAAACATTAATGGATGAAGAAGAGCAGAATTGTGTTGAGGTGACGTGGATAAGCGTTGACAATTTTGTCGCTATCAAAGAGTTACGAAGTTCTCAAATTCATGCCATCATGTCTGAAGTGAACTGTGGATGTCTCGTAATGATAACATTATGACATGTTATTATTGAGTATTAAGGGGTATAATGAAATAAAGAAATGTGAAAGGAGAAACTATAGAACAGTAGTTACTTTGATGACAAGAGATCGGTTCGTGAAATAAACCAAACGGTAATCCTTCTTTCAATAAAGTCATTTAACACAATCCATGACTGATCTGGAAAAAATCAATTATCGATTTATATAAAATTAGGTTTAATAGATTCTTGAACAAATCCCTAATTAGCATTAGCATTTCCTAAAGATCGGGAAAAATTATTTAAGTCTGTGCTATTGAGTACGCAATCTCTTCCCAACCGAGAGTCCTCAGTTTCATCTGTATTTTGCAGCACAGAGAGAAAAAAAATGAATTCTTACTTAAAATTTTAAATTACGGTGGAAGAGATTAGTAACTTACTAGTTAGTAACTTGGTAAAGTAAAAAATGTGAAAAGCACTTTTAACAGTATGAAAATGTCTTTGAGATTCCAAGTCATAGAACATCTTTTTGGCTACGAAAGGTCACACAGTAAACACTACAAAAAAGGAATACACGAGACACAAAAGCGGTATAACAATTTCTTACTGATTTAGCAAAAGAAAAGTCTACTTGAAATCTGGAACATAGTCGAAAGAATTGAATTATTAATTGATTTTTAAAATTAGAGATTTTCGGCTTTGATATCACTCTAAGTGAAGCTAACTTATCCTTTAAAAGATTAGCCTTCTCACTCTTAACTCTCTCAAAACAACAGGCAAACGATGGCAAAAAAAATATGTTGCTGTGAAGCTGCAGTAAGTCATAAAGTAAGAAAATTCAAATTTGCGCAATTATCGCGAATCTTGAAATGTCCAAAAAAGTCAATACTTTTGCACCGGTATCTCTGCACTACGGTATTTGCTTCACATCTTATTCGAGTGAAGGCTTTGGATTTTGTATTACTCGTTGAAGTTTAACAATTTTCGAGGGAGATTAAATTGAAATGATAACTGGAGAACAGATTGATTTAATCGTATACTAATATTCCAGAATACAAAATAAAGCATGAACTGATACGGTAAAGGAAAGTACTCAACGAATCAGTTAAATATATAA